GTATTTTAAGCTTCACTCTTTGTGGTATTTTTTAGAATATGTCCATTAAAGCCACTGGCTTGCCCTAGATACAAACTGTCTGTTCTCTGTGATTTATTTTTTCCTTCCTCTTTTTTTGTCTTTGCAGTTCTTATATCATTTAAATACTCAGTGATTAGTGTCATCATCAACTTCTTTTCTTCCAACATGTTGATTGAATTTAGCATGTGTAGTTCACAGCTGCATGGTTATTGATAAAATTTGGAAAAACAAGGAGGATAGGTTTATTTTAGTTCTGTGCAACTGGTAGACATTTTGGAATTTTACATGTTTCCTTTGAAAGTGAACTACTGAAAATATTGTTTTTTGAAAAAGCTATCACATCTCTCCTTAAAACAATATGTTTAACCTCCTAAGACTTCCTCAATTGCTATTTTTTTTCCTGTAAATTTTACTCTGGGGTCAAGAAAAACAGCACAGAAATCTCTATTAAGTTATACAGATTATTTAGCAACCACATGTTTTGCCAGAATAGCTTTTTATTTTTAATGCATTGATTGTTTTTATGTTAATATTTCTTTAAAGTATTATTGGAAACTCCTTGATAATTTTGGGTTTTTAAAATTATTTAAGGATTTTTAAAATCATTTTTGAAACTCCAAGAGGTTAGCAATAGCAGTTCCGCTTTATGTTTTATGGATAAAAATAATGTCTAACTTTAAAAAGATAATTGTTGAATGAAAATAAAGACTGATGCTTCTGATTTATTTAATCTTAGAAATATCCACATTAATACATTTCAAAATGAAATGATTATTCTGTAGTTTTTTGCTTTCAAAAATACATTCTGTGGTATACAAAGCTTAGAGAAAAATAAAAAATCTATTAAAAAGGGTAAAACAAATTAGGTCTCAGAAATTCTTAGATTTCAACCTAATCAACATTTTAATCTCTCTCAGGTTTCTTTTCCCTTTTATTTGAATAAATAAGAAAGTGTGTTGGCCAAGTGAGTCATACATAACATTTTATGTTGCCTTAATTTACTAATAGAAGGCCATATTTAGACATAAGTTTTGCTATGGCCAATAATAGAAAACCCACACAAAAGTAAAGAATAGAACTCCAAATCAAGATCTTAAGTAGAGTCCTAAAAGTGCACTTATTCTAGACCTTTTTCAAGGTAATATAGAAAAAGTAAGGAATAAGTAATTACAGAAAATGGAAATGGTAGAAAGAAATGATAATGGAAGCTACCATAGTACAAACATCTTGTTAGTTACTGACATATTACCTAAATAATAACAATAATTAATTAAATCTTCACTTAGTCCTGGTATTATGGTTTGGATGTGGTGTCTCCCAAAAGCTAACAGATGAGACAATACAAGAAGGTTCAGAGAAGAAATCATTGGGTTAGAAGAGCCTTTAATTCAATCAGGTGAATTAATCATATGATGGGATTACTTGAATGGTGACTGAAGGCAGGTGGGGTATGGCTGGAGGAGGTGGAGCATTGTGTGCATATGTTTCTATGCAGCAAGTGGATCTCTCTCTCTCTGTTTCTCTCTCTCTCTCTCTCTCTCTCTCTCTCTCTCTCTCTCTCTCTCTCCTTTCTGATCATCAATTCCATCCACCACACTCTTCCACCATGTTGTTCTGTCTCACCTTGAACCCCAAGGAATGGAGCCTACTGTCTATGGATTAAGACCTTTGAAACAGTGAGCCCCTAAATAAACATTTCCTCCACTATAATTGTTCTGATTCGGTGATTTAGTTTCAGCAACAACAACAAAAAAATGACTAAAACACATGGTAAAACCAACACAGTTATGTGCTTATGTTTTAGATCAGATAAAACTGAATTTCATGCCAATTAATTAACATGTTAAGGTTGTATAGGTTATAAGTGATTGAATCAGGATTCAAAACAAGGTATTTCTGTTTCCAACATCCATGATGTTTCCACTCTGCAGTGTGGGGCATGGAGAAGGGAGAATGTGATGGAAAGGAAGACAGAAAAAGGATAAATAACTATATGTGCACCGCTAGCCAGCTTCATGTAGTATTTCATTATTCATTAATATTTGCAACTTAATTTGGTATCATCAGTTCCATTTATTTTTATTTTTTGTTCTACATGAGAGTATATTTTGACATATTTATACAAACATGGAGTACATCTTACTCTAATTAGGATCAAAGTCTTGGTGGTATACAATGTGGAGATTCACTATGGTATATATGTACATGAGAAAGTTCCATTTATTTTTAACAAATTAGTAAACAAATTCAAATTGACAGTCATATCCTAGGTCAGACAGTTGGAAAAAGGTGAGTCTAATGTTTCTACTCTTGCATCCTTAAGTCTTTTCCTCCTAAATTAAAGATCTGCACACCAGTTATCAAAACTGTTTGCAGTGCCTTAAATATTCTCGGATCATCTCTTCATCTTTTTTTTTATGAGAGAGAGAGAAAGAATTTTTTAATATTTATTTTTCAGTTTTCGGTGGACACAACAACTTTATTTTATTTTATGTGGTGCTGAGGATCGAACCCAGCGCCTTGCACATGCCAGGTGAGTGTGCTACCGCTTGAGCCACATCCCCAGCCCATCTCTTCATCTTTAATATCTTTCTTTATTGCTGTATCTTCTCTAACTTAGTGAATGTCATCATTTATTCAATAATAACAAATAATATTATCTGTTATTATTATCCCAGGTAGATTCTATGCCTATATATCCTAGCACATTATGTTCCGGAATGTAAAACTGTGTAAGATGATAATGAATACAGGACTCTCTTCTTTTCTATAAAACACAACTTTTCTATAAACAGTGGAAAACTAATCAAACATTATAAACACTATAAATTACTTAAAATAATAAACACTATGCACTACTTAAAGTAATAGCAATAATAAAAGGAAGTATTTATAAATTATTTACTTATGCCAGATACTACAGTACGTGTTTAAGAGTTTTAATTTATATCATTATGTTATTATAAATTTCAGATAAGAAAACAGAGATAGATTTGTGTTTAAGTCATTTGTTCAAGGAAGGGAATAGTCAAGATGAAACATAGGAAATTAGTGTCAAGGGCCTTTTTTTAAAAAATCTCTGTTATATTTTCTTAAGGATTTGAAAGAGATGAAGTTGGTATGCAATAATAGCCCATTCTAATTCCAGCAGCATGAGAAAGGGCAGGGTATCTCTTTGGCACTCAGCATATTAATATGAGGTCCAGAGAATATTCAATATGACTATAGAGAAATGAACTGTGTGGATTTAGGCAAGCCATTTAGCTTTTCTGATCATCAGTGTCATCACATATAACATGAAATATTTGGCCTGATAATCTCTAATGTATCTCTCTGCATAAAAATATCGTGTTGAATAGAAACATTAAATTTGTAATTCCCTTAAAATCATTCAATAAATTGAAACATCCCACTTTAAATCAAACTGACTCTCCAGGCAAAGGGTCCTTGCATGTTGTGGAAAGGTCATCTCATCTGAAGTTCTTCTGCATTGCTGGATGTCCCACTAGAAGGATAACTTCCTGGGAGAAGGACATGGGTCTGCCTTTTTCATCCCTATGCTCCATAAGTATTACAGTGACTAGAGATAAGTCTTTTAAATTAATATTTCTTGCTTTTTTTCATTGAAAAGTTAACTATTGAATTATCAAACTACTGGTAGAAAGTAATTCATATGCTAGGGACTCTTGTTTATGGTCACCCAGGTAGACAAAAATAAACCAAAAAAAAATGAAATAGCAAATACAAAGAAAATAACTTCGATATATATTTCAGCTATCTACAAGGTACAGTCACATTAATGTTATATCTACAGTATTCGTGAGGCATCTGGGAAAAACAGGAGACTGCCTCCACACAGTCCCACAAGGAAATCATACAGGTGTCACTTGGTGAGACAGGGAGTGTTCATCTATCTATCATTTTTTAGGGACAGTTTCATCAGTCGTTTTCTCGTCTCCACATTCCCTTTGAGAAAATTTGTTCCAAAAGCAGATGGAGCCAATCGGTAAGTGTGAAAACTCTCAATCGTCTCCTACCCACAATTTCCTCTTCTCTCAACCTTTTAGTGACAGCTGGCAGTGAGACAAGCTCATAAAATAATAAACACACTTTTGGATGAAGTCACGTACAAATTCGGGGCTTTATGATATGAGGATTTAGTAACAATGTCTTTTCATATTCGTACAGCTTACTAAACTGATCTCGCAGAGAATATGCTATCTTCCCAAGTCTTTTTTAAAAAAGAAAAACTATTGGGAGACACTTCTATGTACTAGGCATATTCATTGTTGAAGAGAATGAAAACTATACATCAATTAGAGTAGCTAATAATCCTGGGAATGAATGTGCTCAGTACATATTATGCTGAATTTTAGAGAGATTATGTACAAAATACATAAGAGAACAATTAGCTTTATATATTCCTAACTTTTATTTCTATTTAGAGATATTTTGTAGTTTAATACTATTTTATCATCTATCTTGTTCCCCAAGTCTCTCCCCAACACACATACTATAGTTCATGGTGCATTTTTTAATGTTGTATATATGAAACAGACATATGAGACATCAATTTCATACTTAATTGTTTTGGCCAATTTGATGACAAACATTACATCAGTAATACCTTCTTTAACTGGAACTTAGATTCAACTTTTTCTTCTTGAAAGTAAGAATCCAATAGCTTTAGTCTTTATTTTATTTTTTAAAATAAGGCATACTTTGTATCTCATAAATGCTTTAAATAATACTCTTATAAGTTCACTGACACTTTCTCTTGTCAACACAGTTTAAAAATGAGGTGAGGACAGTATGTTCCACAGTAAGATTTATTTTGAACATACATAACATTTTAAAAAGATTCTATTTTATTCCTTTTTCTTTAAATCTAATTTATTAAAATAACTATATTATGATTTCTTATAATATGGATTCAGAATGTCAAAATAATTAATCTCAAATGTTCAGTAATAGATCAGTATGTTTTCTGTGTATGCGATGCTTATAAATAGTTGACCAGTAGAGGAGGGAAAAAAAAACTAAACAGTTTCTTTAAATTTCAAATATTTGAAGGACAAAGGTCTTACCTTTTAGCATGATTTGGATTATTTCCTTATTGGGATATTCACTTCTACAAAATTTTACCTAAAAGCCAGGAAGGAATATAGCTGCCCTAAGAAATTTGGTAAAAATGATCCCCTGGTCTTTCTAGTTAAACTAACTCCTTGCACATGACTGAGCATTCTGCAATGCAGAACATATAAAGAGACAAGGAAAGGATTTTTAGAAATATTTGATTTTTCCAAGTTGGGTCTATGCTAAGGATAATTAGTCTATTATTCAAATTTGATCCTCAAGCCAGACCTGAAAAGCAAATGGATTTACCCATTGTATAGCATGAAGTTCAGGTTTAGATGGTTACACACCTTCCCCAAGGGCAAGTGGATAGATATCAGAGCTTAGCTAGAATTCAATTCAAGTTCTGACACTCCCAGAACACTCTCTACCATGTCACAGCTACCTGCTCATATGAATTGCTAACATATCCCTGGGTATTAGGACTATTAAATTAGAGTTGCTTAAAGTATTTTGCTTTCCAAAATTAAAGGAGAAGATAGAGCCTTCTTTTATTAGAGTGTAAATGCAAATGTCTTTCCAAATCATATACCACTAACAGGAAGCTTGCAGAAATTAATAATTGTGCCAGCTATCAATCTTTTCATGCATAAAATTCAAAATTTGTTACTCTGCCTACAGATGAAATGTCATTTTATAAAAAGCTAATAATACTCACCCATAAGTTTGCCTGTCAACATCAATGAGCCAATAGCAATCTGCAAAAGTTAAAATTAAGTATAATATTAAAATCATTTGAATATAGGCATAAAATTATTGAGTTTATTCAAATTGTGTTAAATATCAATAGAATTTAGTTTTACAATGAACCAGAGGCTTTTGGAGTCACAAAATTATGAGTAATTTGAATAACATTAGAGTTCATCCTGACATCCCTAATTATAGAGGTAAAGACTCTGAGGGCCAGAGAGAGAAATAATTGCTCATGCCTGGGTAGAGGTGGAACTCATTTGCAATTTCTTTTCTTACAATTTTAGCCAAGGGGATTTTCCAGTATTTCATCTTCAATTCCCACTTTGTGCCTGATGTTGACCAAGGGATAATCTTTATTTATTTAAATTTATTGTAACTTATTCTAGAAAGTAGTTGAGGCAGCTTACATATGGAATTTAAAGATATGGAATAAACTAAAAATAGGAGTAAATGAAAATAAAAACAGGGATTGAATTAAGATCAAACAGATCCAGGAATGTACAGTAGTTCATATCTTGAATGTCCACAAAGACCCTGTGTTGAAGGCTTGGTCACCAGCCTGTGGTGCTATCGGGAGGGGGTGGAATCTTTAGAAGGTGGAGCCTTATAGAATGAGGTGAGGTCACTGAGGACATGCTCTATAAAGGACTATACAAACACCAGTCTCTACCCCTCTTTCTCTCTGTTCTGAGGTCAACAAGCCTCCTTAACCATGGGCTCAAGCCATGATGTACTAAGTTACCACAAATCCCAAATGACAGGACCAAAAGGACATGGAATGAAACCTCTTGAACTATGAGCCCATGCAATTCTTTCCTCTTTACAGATTGATCTATCTCAGTTATTTATTAAAGCAATGAAAATCTAACACAGAATGAGACAACAAAAAAGCATGTCATGAAAGCCTATGTGTGATACCTTAAATTACCTTTCAATGTGACCCTACAGTGTGTACCACAAATAATAAATTCATCCAAATTATGCAGTGTGCATATAATAATATATCACAGTAAATCCCACTAGTATGTATGATCATAATTTACTAATAAAAGATAAAATAATAATCAAGATAAATATTGGCTTTATGAAAAAATTAAAATTTGATCTAGTATGAAATTTGCTGTATTCACAAAGTGAATTATTCTAGAGAAATATGCTTACTCCTGAGGTGATATTCAGGAGCTCTGCTTTGTTCTAGTTAATACCATCTAACGGGGCACAGTTTTGAGTAACTCTTTCCAATGTTGAGTCTTGTGATGTCCTGAAATCAAGCACTGTGAACTTACACCATAGCAATCAGCACATGCTACAAAAGCAAGGCTGTTTTTTTTCCCCCCTGTTGGTTGTAAAATGCTCATTAAGCACATCCCTCCTTAAAGATCTTTTCAATCACATGCATGCACACATATTAGCCCTACCTTACCATATCCCTCAATATAGGCATGATGTATCAAATATATAATTTAGTTTAAAAAAATAGAATACCGATACATTGTAATCTGGATAGTCTCATCTTGGTTGATAAGAAGTAATCAAAATACAGATTTTAGTTATATGGAAAAAGTAATGGACCACATACATTTCATGCCACTTCCCAAAAATCTTTCTCTAAGCTGAGTATCAAACAGATTTAAGCAGTAATTAATTCAAGAAAAAAAGTATTTGACAGTATCTAACCATATCAACAGTTAAATTCAGATCCATGTGCCTGAAACCAATAATAGAGCTACGTTAATTGAGGCATAGGTAGATAGTCAAGGATTTCTTGCCATCATTCTTTTCTGGTTAATTTTCACTCCTTCAAGTTGAATGTTGAAATCTCTGCATTTAAATAAATGAAAGCTGGGGGAGGAAGTGTTACTTAAACCTAGAAAACAAGCAAATGAGTGGGCTCTCCTATTTCTTGACTTCATAAAGTTGCAGTTGGTCTTGAAAAGGATGCCTAGTAAAAATCTCTATCAGAGATACAGGGACACCTTGCTTTATATTATTAATCATTTTGTATGCCTGTGTCAACTAATTCTTAATTCATAGTATGTGTCTATGGTATATATATATATATTAGACTCTACTAAATTTATGTCCTCTGATAACTAGTAAGTTTCTGGTCCTGCTCTAAATGCTATGAAATTCTTAGTTTTCACCTTGTTTTGGTTTGGATCAAAAATGTCCCTCCAAAAGGTCATATGTTAAAAGCATTTTCCCCAATGCAGCAAAGTTCAGACCTGAGGCTTTCAGGCAATCACTGGATCATGAGGGCTCTGACCCCATTGGTGGGGTAATCCAATGGACTGCTGGAAGGTGGACCCTCCTTGGAGAAAGGAGGTCACTGGGGGTGTGCCCTGAAAGGGTGTATCTTCTCCCTACTTTTCTTATTTTTTTCTTTCTTTTTCTCTATGTCTGCTTCCCAAATACCAAAAGCTGGATAGTTTTCTCCACCATGCCCTTTGTCAAGATGTCTCTGTCTTAAAGCCAGTCAACCATGCCCTGACCTTTGAAACTATGAGACAAAAATCAATCTTTCCTTCTCAAAGTTTCTCTTGCCCAGTATTTTGAGATGAAAAACTAACACACACACACACATACACACACATACACACTCACACACACACACACACACACACACACACACACACACACACCCCTCTAGATTCTATAGCAAGAATTCAGCCTATTTCGTCCTTGGCATCTTCTGCTTGTATGTGAATCAGGTATGAAATGCAATTTTTAAAAGTAGGTGCCATCTTGTGTTCCAGAAGACAAAATTACAAAAGTGAAAAAGAGTAGAAGAAGAATTTGCAAATCATGTATCTAAAAGGAAGTTTTATGTAGAATGTATAAGTAACACAACTCAATAATTAACAAAAAACACATATGACCCAGCTTAAACATTAGAAAAGAATCTGAATAGAAATCTCTCCAAAGAATATATACAAATGATAAATAAGCACATAAAAATATGTTCAACAACATTAGCCATAAAACAAATATTAAGTAAAAACACAATAAGATATCACTTTGCACATACTTGAATGATTATAATCAAAAAGACATAATAAATGTTGGATATGATGTGGAGAATTGGTGACAATGTGAGATGATTCAATAACTTTGAAAAATAACCAATTCCTCAAAACTTCTGTATAACTCAGTAATTCTACTTCGGGATATACTATATATTCTCAATTGGAATGAAAACACATGCCCACAAAAAAACTTGTACTTGAATGTTCATGGCACCCTCATTTACAACATCTAAATAGTAAAACAACCAAAATGTATATCAACTGAATTGACAAAAAAAGAAATGTATGCCTATGTGATGGAATATTATTCAATAATAAAGGCAATGAAGCACTGATGCATGTTGCAACATGAATGAGCCTTCTGGAATCAGAGGTAATATACAATTATTGTATGATTATATTTATAATACATAACCAGAATAGAAATGCATAAGACAAGAAGTACATTATTGATTGCCCAGGGCATCTTTTCATCTCATGGTTAAGTGAAAAATAATTGCTAATGAGGATGAGGGTGTTTTTATTCAGGGTGTTAAAAATGTGCTAAAATTGATTCTGATGATAGTTGTATGCCTTTAATATACAAAAGCTATATGTACTAAAACCAACTGGATAATATAGTACTCTTTAAATGTGTGAATTACATGGTATGTGAACAAATGCTACCATTCATCTAAGGAAGGAGCTGCTGATCCTCAGTATCATGGTTTTTAAGCACAGTTCACATCAGTATGTTTCTGAGTAAATTCAATATTTCCAAATAGGACAAGCACCAAGTCTCAGAAACTTCCCTCTGAGATATAAGAGATTTGAGTTTTTGCCCACACTGTGCTACTATTAGTATTGTCTATATATTTACCTTTGGTCACTTACTTCGTCACTCTTTTCCTCAGTCTACTCAAATGGAAAATAAGTAGATTAAACTAGATGGTTACTAAGCTTTCTTCCAGAAGTGTGCTATACCATGGAGCATGTGAAGTTTGATCAAAGAAAAGTAATGGATATGGTAAACCCTTAAATGACAGACACATTGGAAGTAATATAAAACTAGTTTAGACACCTAAGTCAGAGCTTACCGAATTTGTTAACATCTGCAGAATTCTTAATATTGTAAGCCAAAATTTTTTGATGTGAACCCTTTTCCAGTCATCTACCTAGACAATCACCTATGGTGTGCTAAAAGAACCCTTCTGTATGAAAAAAAAGAGGTTGCTTGGATACCTACACATTTATTCACCAATTATTCATCAGTTCCATGTGAATCAAAACTGTGCCATATTGCAAAAACTTCATATATTCCCTGACAACCTTTTCAACAATTAGTCATCGCTTCAGATAATTTAACATTTATATTAATTTTAGGATAACCGAGAAAATGTAAAATGTGTCATGCAATGATGTAGAATTTGAACTGTTAAATTTTAACATATCCATAAGAATATAATTATGATTATAGGTAAATAACCTTAAAATCCCCTTCTTCAGCTTAGAACTGTTATAATTTTATTCAACTTGTGTTGTATTTTTTTTTTTTTGGTTAAATGTTTATCTTTCCCAGAAGTAAGAGCTCCTAAAAATCAGGATGCATCTATTAGTTTCCTTAAAAATATAGGACCACATGTAAGAATTAAATATATTTAATTAATATATTTAACATGTTTTGTGCTACCTCATGTGTTCTGCTCTAAAGAGAATCTACAATTTCAGGTGGCAGGGAAGAGAGGAATGCTTATTTATTAAATATATGTATTGGCTATTTCTAGATTAAACAGCAAGCATGGCACTGTCTCATTGCAATTTTTAATCAACTTGTAGTGAACACAATTATTGAAAACTTATTTCATTTATTAGAAAAGTCATTGAAACCCACCAAAATGAAATATGGCATAATAAATTCATGTAGCAAACTGTTCAAGGTTCTATTACAGAGAGCATAAAATAATTTTCTTTGTGAAAATAAAAGAGTTTAGGACATGAAC